TGGTGCATATAAATCGCAGAAAGCAACTAAAGTAAGTATTTAAATTAAACAATATAAGTAAGAAACAGTTTTAAGAATACTTTCAATTTTAGGAAGAATTATTAATGAGTAATTGGAGATATCCAAGTTTATCAATTCATGGAATTGAAGGAGCGTTCTCAGGTTCTGGATTTAAGACTGTGATACCTCGTAAGGTTACAGGAAAATTTTCCATTCGATTAGTACCAAACCAAATACCATCAAGAATCTCAGAAATAGTGAAAAACTATGTCCAAAGTGTTTGGGAAAAACGACAAAGCCCTAATAAGTTCAAAGTATTATATTTTTAGTATCAATTACTTGTATTAATGTTAATTTATTTGTTTATTTTAATAAATAATATCATCAATATAAAGAAAATAATTTTAATCATGCAATCTGACATAAAAAAATGTATACACTATACATTGCATACATAATACATATTTATAATATAGTTACTTTGATTCAATTTGCGAAACTGAAATATAGTAAATAATTTAGTAGCTATACTTAAAAAAATGTCATCACCAAACTAAAGAAATGATTTGGACTTTTTTTCTGACTGTAAAAGAATGCGATTATTTTATTTTGTATAACTTGAAATTATAGTTTTCTGTGTAGTATATTATATAATAATATATATGTGTTATTTTTATTTTTATTTATTTATCAGATATACACAGCAAATGAAGGTGGTAATCCCTGGAAGACTGATCCATTCAATGATCACTTTTTAGCCGCTCACAAAGCTACTAAAACTGTGTACAATGTTGAACCAGACTATACAAGATGTGGTGGATCTATACCTGTTACATTAACTCTACAAGTATGTATTTAATACATAATATTTATTTTTTTTTTTTGTACATATTAACATGTTGTACATTTAAATAATTTTCTACCACTTATGATATCATACTGAAACAAATTATCTACAATGTTATTCATAATGATTCATCTGGATTCAAACAGTTATATTTTAAGTTTTAAGGTTTAGAGTGATAATTTTATAAATGTAATTACAATAAATATTTATAGAATAATTCTAGTTAAATACAAATTATAAACTATAATTGATCCTTAAAATGTATTTTAATAGATGGCATAAAATTTAAACTAAGATAACTTTTTAGTTTCTGAATAACTAAATTTCAGAGATATTAAATATGCTATCATACTTGTAAGAAAATAACTTTTTAAGTATGATAATTGATAATATTTAAAAGAAACAACATATTTATATTTTATTTAGTTTGTTATACCTTTAATTTATTTGGTTTATGGACTTTAATATACATTAAAATTAAATTACATGAGGTATTTCTATGTGACTATGCAGTAACAGCAGAAAAGTTATTTTAATGTCTATATTTTTCAAATATTTTTCAAATATTTATGTTGAATCTGTTAAATTTATGTATTCAATTATTGAGCAGACAAAATAATTCCTGTACATAAGTTATATTTATTTTGAATCACTAACATTTTGAGTAAAAATTTTCTTATAAAACCATTAAATTTAAATTACTGAAGTATGTATTTATCAGTAAAAGTATTGATTGAAAATTGATTGTTCTAGGAAGTTACTGGTAAGAGTGTAATGTTGTTGCCAATGGGTGCTGGTGATGATAGTGCTCATTCACAAAATGAAAAAATTGATGTACGCAATTACATTGAAGGAGTAAGTACCAAATTCTGTTTTAAAACCTCTACAAATAGTGTGTGTTTTATTAGGTTCTTATTCGTATCTTTAGTATGTATTCTTTGGTTAGACAACACCAAAAATTACATTCTATTATTTTTCATAATATCATGAAACATAATTTTTTTTTTTGTTTCAGACCAAATTGATGGCTGCATATCTCTATGAAGTATCGAAAATTAAACATTGAATGTGATATAAATAGTTTATGTTTTGCCTAAAACTTTTATAAAGAATATTATATTTTATAAAATATGAATACCATTTTTTAATTAATAGTAAAAAAGTATGTAACTAATCATAATATATGAAATTGTTTAGTAAGATACTATTTGTTATTATCGTTGAATATTTTTACAATTAAATTCCTGAGACCTATACGTTTTTCATTAATTACCCAAGTTTAATTCAATGTAGATCATAACCTAAGATACATATTAATAGAGATTCATAGGTGAGTCTGTATGGGGTGTACGGCTGTGATTGCTTTCTCATTACTTAAGTTGAATATGATAATTAATGAAAATAAATTTATGAAAAGAATAAAGCATAATATTATAGATAAATATGTACAATTTAAATTAAAAAGTTATTCTTTTTTACTGTTCTTAGACCTTATATTAGTGAACATCACTCATATTGGTACTGTTTTAAATGTTGAATGTAATTTTTTTAATTTAAACTTTGTGATTACAATTAGTTTCAACAATTATTTAATACAATTTAGAGGTTACTAAGGCAACAATATGAAATTAAATTAAAAAGCCTGAATGGTTAAAGAAAGATAATAATATGTTGAATATGATATTTTTTTGTTAGTTTGAGAACATATTTATAGTTTCAAAAGGGATGTAGGTGTTATTTAAAAATATATATTATACTATTTTTAACATGTTGTTCTCGAGTAAAAACAAAATTACAACGGCCATTCTTCTGTCGACCACACCAACTCGTTTACAAGTAGATACAATGTATCTGATACATATATGCCACAAATTGACAAACCATGATTATAGGTATCTATGTCAGCTATATAACTAATCGAGGTTCATGCTACATTGTATTTGATTAACATCTCTGACATAATGTACATACATTATTCAGTTGTTTTTAAAATGTTTTTGTTTATATGTCAGTAGATTATGACAAGGAATAAAAGGGATGATACACGAATGTGTCAAGATAAAAATCAAAATACGCTGTAGCTTACACAACACACACAACCAATATTTAAATGGAAGTAAATTCTATTTAAGTTCTTACAACAGCTGGAAGGCATACCTAGTTTTGTACATTTAGGTTGAAAACGTGTAAACCGTGTTCGGGAGTAGGTAGGTACCTGTCGTTCAGTGTATAACATCTTATTATTATCTGCCAACTACTTACGCCATGTTGAAAAACGTGCTCAAAGTGAAACTGAAAAATAATTTCAAACGATTCAAAATAAATCCCCACAAGACGGTGGATATCGAGTCCAGTACCTGTTACTTCCTGGACGTGCCCAAGATCCCGTCCGACTCGTTCCGATCCGCCACAAATTTCCCAACGATACTCGGCCAGTATCTGTGTCTGATACCGATATCTCAAGACCGTTTCCGGATATACAGCTTAAGGACCGTTCTATCGGTGGTCGCGCTTGTCTGTCAAATCATCATGACGTTTTTGAGTTTTTGCTGGCTGAAGGAGACCGGCGCCAACATATTCAAAGGAGGTCAAATAATCTCACCAGGAATTACTGTAATGCATGATAAATTAACAACCATGTCAATTCAGAGACATTTTTACAGGTGTAGTTTTGTTCTTTGGTGGGTCAGCCGTCACGATGGCGTTACTCATTAACTTGTCGACGAACTGGTGCAATCTTCTAAACAAATGGGAACAAGTGGAGGGTTACTTCGGCCACCAAAAGAATTTAAAATTAAAATTCACTCTCATATCCATTGTGTGTATAATTTTTTCGATGGGTAAGATACTTTACAGCTTAACATTTTGGTTGTGTAGTAAAATATTTTTTTTTCTGTAGACAGTAGGTACCTACCAAATGTATTTCACAAACTTACGTTTCACTTAATATTTTTTTTGAATAATAATAATGAATATTAAACAGCAAATAATCAAATTAATATAATTTTAAATGCCATACGGATGGACAACTCTAAATGCTGTTACATAATATGTTTTCTAATAAATTGCTGGATTTCATTTTCGTTCATTTTCGTAATTTTCATTAGATAACTATAGGTGGATGGTGATACATATGGGTACATATATATATATAACTTACATTTCATCGGCACAACTATTATGCGATATCGGGAGTCGGGGCGCCAAATAGTTTTCAATAGTTCTTAGTTCTCTTATAGGTATACTTGAATAAAAATAATTTAAACATTTTGTATTAATATTTGCATAAGTATAATTTTTAACCTCCGAGGATCCCGATGTGATACACACCAATGTTACCCAGTAGTTACATCTATGGTTTTGAATTTTAATAGCTACCTACCCGGTAAGTACAGCTGTTACTTTACCTGGTGTCGGCCTGTAGGCCATGGTCAAAAACGAGGCCGGAGCTCACGGTTCTGTCTTTTGGGGGGGGGTAGAAAAGCAGGCCAAAATGTATATAATATTGTTATATAATGCCATGTGAGTATGTACCTAACTATGTGACTTCCTATTGTCTTTTGTGCAATTGAGTGCGTAGGTGATAGGTACCTATTTACTGTTTAGATTAATTAATATACACAACTAGACAATATTGAAGTTGAAAATCTAAGCAATTATACTAATCAAAATAGGTGCTAAATATAAAGCATTTTAAGATCAATACATTCATCGCTCCGAGCAGAATTAAAAATTGATTGTGTTATTAACTATGTTTTGAATAGTTTTCCAAAGTATTTATATTTTTTTTGTATGTAGGTAACAGGTAATGAGGCCCCTGACTAGTGACCAGTGTTTGGAACGTTCACTAAAAAAATTAATTTGTTCACGTTCACGTTCAATCTTCAAAAAAGAAATTCGTTCACGTTCACTTTCGTCTTTTTTTCTCAAATGAACGCGTTCACGTTCAAGTTCACGTTCATTGAACAATTAATGCATTCACTGGGTCGTTCATTTAATTTTTTTATAATATAAATCATTATAAAAAAATATTATTATATAATTAATTTAATATATTTTAAACATTTACTTATTAAATGGTCAATAAATGGTTAAAAACTCCTTCAAATTCAATAAAATATAAACGTCTTTTACGTTTACGCGTTCAGTAAAATATGAACATGAACTACTTCCTCTCCAAACAACCTTACCCATAGGCTTAACCTAACCTAACCTATCATAAGACGTGTTAATTCCCTTTATAGCTGGTAAATATAATTTCACTAAAGCTCAAAATTTGTTTTGTTTTCAATTATTGCAGTGGAACATTTGAGCTACTTGTTGACAGGAATCATAACGACGGAACGGGAGAGTTCTCACGAAGTGTTCGAAATTTACGTCTTGAAAATGTTCCCACAAGTATTTACTGTAATTACTTACAACACGTGGGTAGCTGTGCTGGTTTTAGTCATAAATTCCGTGTCGACTCTCACCCTCTGTTTCTCGGACCAGATCATCATCATGGGCAGTTTAGCGCTGGGAAATTACTTTCAGATATTCAACGACCGCATGATAACACACAAAGGCAAGGTATATCATAGGTGGAATAGGTGCATAATACCTAACCAGTATATACTATTATATCTATAGGTTATATACCAGGGATGGCAAATCCATGGCACGTGTGCCCGAGGTGGCACGCGAAAATTTTTACTATTATACATTATATAATATATAATATTATAGGATCTTTTTTTTTTTTTTTTTTTTTT